GAAAGGGGAACAAGGGAAAAGAAAAAAATGTGAGAAAATGAAAAAATGAATTAAAGTATAAATGGGGAGGGGAGGAAGGGGTGAAGGGAGGGCAAGGACAAGGGGAAAAAATGAGAACCAAGACCTGTCATGTGAAGGTACAAGACCCCAGTAATGAATGTAACTGTACTGTCTACCTAGGATGTACCAATAAACTCAATTAAAAAAATAATGTAGTGGTGTCCACATCCCTTCAGGGATGTGCAGAAAGTGCTTCTGGCACACAACAGTAGGGGCCCAGGGCCTCTGCACTGAGCTACAGCCTTTCTTATTATTTATTTTGAGCCAGGGTCTTGTTAAATCACTAAATTACCTATCCAGGCTCCAACTTGTGAACATTCTGCCTCAGCCTCCAACAGTGCTGGGATTACAGGTGTGTGTCACCACGCCCAGCTGAAAATGTTTTCTAGACCCAAGGAATTAGCCAGCTTGTTTCCATGAACTAAGGGTGAAAAATGCCAGCTGGTGGCGATTCTTAACTCTGTACTAGAGTGGGCCTTAGGAGTACCTGCAGTTTAGGCAGGCACATTCATCAGACAGAGGCCTTCCCTCTGCACCCAGCATGCCCAACCAGTAGTGAGGGTAAAGAACTTCTAGGGCCCTTACTCTCTTGGTGTCTGTTTAGTGCACGTAACTGAACTTTTCAGTATAAAGGTTTCAGGTCAAGATTGATCCAGCAACTCAGAACTGTCAGCTAGGAGTCTTTCTCCTTCCATCTCTCCTGTCTGCTAGCCACAGGGCCTTCTTCATTTGCAGGCATCACAAGATGCCTGGCCTTGGTTGTTGAGATAGCTGTTTGTTTTTTGGGTTTTTTTGTTTGTTTTTTTTTGTAGCCCAGCAGAAAAGTATCAATATTTCCCAGTATTCTCCTTAAAGCTTCAGAGATTCTCTGTGATTGAAACATCTTTAGGATCTAGGCTATTCCTAAACCAGTCACTTTGGCCCAGAAGATAGAATGTGCTGCTGAGCTTGGCCAAGTTCACGCTGAAGTGAAGCCAGAGTCTGTGCAACTCCTTCAGTGCCCTACAGGGACCAATGCCCGATGGGAGGAAGAGGTGGCTGCAGAGAGGCAGACCCCCCCCACCTATTCCATGAGCTTGCACACCCATGCGCATGTCAACTCCTCTCCAGAGACCGCAGTGTCCTTAGTGCTACCCGAGTGGTTGGATGAGGTGGCCCCCAGAGCCACTGTGTGACTTCTCCCTCCGTGTCAAACCAGAGTGCCCCAGGCCCACCTCTGCTCCTTTCTCCTGAGCAGGAAGAGGTAACCTCCGCATGACTCCTCCAACCACAGTCCTTTGGGGCTTGGCTCTGACTCACTCCCTTGGGGGCCCTGGGCTTCAGGAGTGAGGTTAAGGATCCAGCGTGCCTCCAGTCCCTGGAGAAGGAGCCGTGTTTGTTTATCTTGACTCATAAAAAGCCACAAAAGAAAGAGGTTTAAAAGCTCTGAGCAGGTTACGGACGCCGTAAACAGCTTATGGGATGGTTTTCACATGAAAAATCACCCAAGATAGAAGATCAGGAAGGCAAGATCCAGGGGTCGATTGGGCTCCTCTTCCTGTCCCTAGATGAACAGACAGGTCGGAACAGCACATGGCGTGGGTTAGAGAAGGGCACCTTGGGGTGGGCCCAGAGTGTCTGTCTCTGGATAAGAGGCTTCATCTGGGGAGAGTTGGAATCCCTGAGAGCAGCAGATGGAGGGCAAAGTGAGGCCCAGGAGCTTGCTGTGTAGACAGCAAAAACTACCCTGGCCTGAGGCTCTGGCAGCCACCCCGGCCTCAGCAGCAAGATTCCTTGGAATTTTTAAAGCTCACTCGGTCATTCAACAGAGATGTATGGGACCCTATTATGTGCCAGGCACCCTGCTGGGCAAGCAGAATACAGGGATGAAAAAGATTCCCTGAGGAACTTTTCTTGGTAGATGGATTCCTGTGCTCACTTGAAGGCGAGCCAGAGTGTAAAGAAATTCTGGCCAACCTGTGGAATTGCCTCCCTCCCCACCCGAACCCCAAATCTTGTCTGCTGGGGGACAGAATTAATCAGTGAACAAGTGCTTTCCACCTGTTGGTTCAGTGCAGCTCTGAGCTCAGAGAGAAGAGGGAAGAGCTTCCCAATGGGTTAGGGGACAAGACGGACATGGACAGCCATGGCTGGGCCTGTCTGCCAGTCTTTATTCCAGCTCTGTGACTTTGCCTCGGAGACTTTTAGCATCACTTGCTAACTTTGTCTGTTTCTTCATCTATACAGCGGACATGTTACTATAAGATAACAAGAGCCTTCACCCGTTTCTTGGAAGGACTCCATGAGAGAGCCCATGTAAATATTTTTTCCATGGAGACTAACACATAGTAAATGCTCAGTAAATGTCCAGCTTCACTCACTGTAGTAATAACAGCGGGGCATTTACCAATGACGAGTGTCCAGAAGTATCACGGTGTCCCAGGAAGGCTGCCTGGAGGGAGGAGCCCTGACTGGAGACCTTGGCCTTGATGAGAGATGACAGGCCCCGGCCAGGGCCCTGTAGGCCAGGGCACTCTGCCGCGCATGCGCACTGTTTGGGAACACTGGTTCCGGAGGGTGGGGCTGGTAGAAAGAGCGGTGGGGGGGCTCCTGACGGTGAGGCAGCTGGCAGGTTGGAACCCAGTTCACACAGCTGCGCCAGGCACCTTCTGGGCTCCTTCCTCCACATGGGCATGGCCGGTATTTAGCACTTCGGAAGCAGCTGCCTGCTCTGCGAAGAAACCGAAACCGCTGTCGGCCTGGCCTGGGGGCACACGCCTGTGATCCCTGTGGGAGACTAGGGTGGGAGGCTCACAAGGCTGAGCCCAGGTAGGGAGCATAGCTCACTACAAAGACGCTGGGTTCAATTCCCAGGGAAGGAAGGAAGGGAGAGAGGAAAGGAGCGACAGAGGGAGGGTGGGAACCGAGCCCAAGGAAGAAAAGAGATAGGACCCCCCCCAACAAACACTATCGGCCCCGCCTCGGGGTTCCAGAGAACTAGGGCTTGACACGCATCTGTGTGAATTTAAATAGATTTGAGACTAAGAGTAAATTCAGTGAAATGTGTTCTTCCTTTTTCCATCTCAATCTGTCTGTTTCTGCTTGGTTTATTAGTCTGTTTTTACCCAAACTTGACCTATTGCCCTGACTTTTTACGTAGAAGAACTTTATAAAACTCCCCTTCAGTTTCACTTCTGCGTAGAGACAGGAATCTCGGACAGGTGGCTCACCTGTTTCCGAGCATCTACCTGAGCCTCTGCACGGAACCCCCACCCTAGGGATCCCCGGCTTAGACAAGGTCCTGCAGGCTGCGGGATCCAGGGCGTGCCGAGGTCCCCGAATTCCATCACTTGGCCCTGCCCCCGCCCACTCAAGGGCAGGAAGTGGCCTGGCTGGCCCCAGGCACAGACACAGTCCGGTGCCCTGCTGTGCCTGCGGAACGGCTGAGCTCGGGCAAGTCGCCTACGCAGAGAATCAGCAGAGGGAGCTCTAGGCAGCAAATAACTAACTTTCCTGTGATAGCAGTTTCCTCTGGAGAAGGCAGGGTCCTAGGTGGAGCTGCGCACCCTGCGTGCCAAAGGAAATCTCATCTCGCTGACTTGCAGGGATGGGGACATGGAGGGCGCTGGAGGGGAGAGGGGAAAGGAAGAGACACCAGATGAAAAACTCTCAGAAACCACGAGTCTGTGTGAGGGAAGACCTGACCTTGTTCTGGGCCACACCTTGAGTCAGAGGTCTCACAACCTTTCCAGGACCCCGCAATCCCGCTGATGTATGAAAATGGGCCCAGTCCGGCAGTCTCGGATGAGGCAGGCAGATATTTTCCCCTTGAAAATTTACAATGAGCCCCCACGGTCTGTCAGTGGTCCTGGCGGTGCCACGCCTCTCATGGGACCATTGACAAACATGGCGGTGAGGAGGTTTTGTTTATTGAGCACCTACTTGATGCCCCACCTTGTAGGCTTTAAGAAATCACATTCACTAAATATTTGTTGACCTACTGGATACCTCAGGCAAGGCTCACTCGGGATGAAAATTCATGGGGGTTCAACCATGAATCAGACGCACAAGGTTCCTGCTGTCCTAGAGCTTGCATTCTGGTGGGCAGAACCAGGACAAGGAAATGCATCTGTGCGTAAACAAATAATATCTGAGAGCAAGGAGGGTGGTGAGCAAAGCAGAGTGCTAAAGTTACAGGACAGGACGCAGTCAGGAGGACCTCAGCCCGGCAAGGACCTTCAGGTGAAAGGCGGCCCTCAGAGGACTCTGATTCCATGTATACATCAAGCACCATGCATTGGCTGAACAAATAGCTCGATCTGTTGTGTTCACATGTGAATGATGCTACTGGGATCTACACAGGAAACATACTACGGAATACAGTGCAGTGCCTGTGTCACTGGGAGTTTTCCTCAAACAACAATTAATAAACACTCAACTGCTTGTGTAACAGGGTCTCAGGCAGAGTTCAGAGAAAAGTCCAAGAAGGAAGAAGTTCAAAATGCACTGCCCCGAGAAAAGGAGCTCAAAGCAGATGGCGTATTAGCTCTGGGCACTGTGCTGTCCAGATAGCCTTTATTTTATTCTCTCTGACGTCCTCGGCCACGCCACATTCCTGTGTCACAGACACTGCCCTTCAGCCCTGTGTCCTCTTCACATTACTGTGAAGCCGCTGTGGGCCCGCGCCGCACCTCAGTCCCACCCAGTCCAAGCCCTGCCACCTCCTTCTGTAGCTCTCAGATCTCTGTCATGTGCTTACCCAAGGGCTCGGTTCTAAACCAGCTAAAGGAAAACAGGCATTTACTGGAAGGCCACTCGATATGTCGGAGTCTGCTAGTCGTCTATCAAACATTCTTCCATTGTCCTTTGATAGAGCCTTCTGATTTTATGTATAGTTTTGAAGTGATAAGGTGCCCAGGCCAAAAGTAGTCAGGAGTGATTGAAGAGAGGGTGGCACATACCATGGGTGGAGCTCCCAAGAGATCTTTCTGAGGGAAGGTGCTACAGAAGTCAAGGTGAGTTTCCTTTTGCCTCTTGTTATTCCCATTCTTTCCACCTGGAATGTAGAAAAGAGGGCTGGAAGTCCAGCAGCTATCTTGCAAATGTGAGGTTAGAGGCCAGGGATGGGGTAAGGAGCAAAGAAGATGGAAACAACCTAATGCCTTTGTAATCTGCTGTACCTCCTCTACTTTACGTTTCCATCACACTCTTTCTCCACACTGACCGACTTGTCCTCTCTTGAACCTGAAAGAAGGGTGGTCATCTTACAACACCACGCCTTGGTTTGTTGTTCTGCCTAGAAGTGCTCATCACCCATCTGCCTGCCTTCTCCCTCCCTTACCTGGGTGAAGCACAAACATGGTCTCTCACATAAGCCATTCCTGACTGACCCCCTCCCAGCCCAACACCGCCGCAACTGTGTTCTGGTGTTTTCTGTAACACGTCCCACCTTCTGTACCTGCACCGCTTCCTCCACCTCACCCACGGGAAAGATCACAAACAGCCCTGGGACAGGCAGGGTCTGCTTTACTGCGTGCACTGCTGCACCTTGGCACCACTTAGGGGTTCACTAGGTTTTGCGGCAGCAGCGAGTGAATCACAGTCTCGGGCACAAGTCAAACGCAGCTCATCTCTGGGTGTGCGCTGTCCCAGCTTGAATTGGTGCTCACTGGGGCCACCAGCTGCATGGTCACATGCAAAGTCACCCGGGAGATGAGACTCCTCGTAGCCATGAACATGGAGGCCATGGGTGGGGGGCGTATCACAGCCTGGCCACAGATGTCAGGTGCACGGCCATGACCAGAACAAGATTCCAGATTCAAACCACCTGAGTTTGGACCTTGTGTCTGCGTCTCATCAACTCTGGGAACTTAGACAAGTGGTTTCGTGTTTGTGCTTCTTTTTCATCTGCAAAAGCTGGGGGAAGCTTCGTACCCTCCACTAAGGCTGTCATGGGAATTAGATGAATGAATTCATGCTAAAGAAAAAAAAAACCACTTGCAGCAGTGCTGATCACATGGTAATACCAAGTGCAAAAAATGAAAACTATTAGAAAGGCAATGAAAACGTCACAAAATAAATCCACATATGTTTGAAAAAATCAATACACTTATTTTTCATAACAGGTAGATAAATAGAAATAAAAATAAGTCAGGACATGGAAAAATTGCAAAGTGCAGCTTACAAACTCAATTCAATAGATTTGTAGAGAAACATACTTACCTGAACAGAAAATAAATATTATTTTCATAAGAGTTCATGAAACTTATTGGACATAAAGAAACTATGTGAAACTATGTGGACATAAAGAAAACTTCAACAAGTGAAATAAAGGAGATTTTTCTCAAGCCAAGTTCCCTCTGATCATAACTTAATAACTTTAGAAACCCTTTGTTATTTCATTTATTTTTAATAACTTAATTGAGAAACATAATCTTAATCTTAGACAATAAAATACAATCTTTTTTTTTTTTTGTTTTTTTGGTACCGGGGATCAAATTTGGGTCCTTGCACTTGGGAGGCAGGTGGCGGAACACTGAACTAAATCCCTGGCCCAAAATAAAATCTTTTAAAAAGCAATAAATGAGAGAACATTTTATACCAAAATTTACAGAAAAACAACAAAAGCTGTAGTTAGAGGAAAATTACTAGACTGCAATACGTTCATTATAAAGAATGACTAACAAAATAATAAAGAAATTTTTATAAACCCAAGAGGTTAAATTAAGAACCCAGTAAACTAAAATAAATTCTAGATTGAAAACTAATAATGATAGAAGTTGGATTTAATGGGCTAGAAGGAACAAATAGCAGGGAAAAAATTCAAAATCTCTTTTATTTCTTTTGGCAGTGGTGAGATTTGAATTCAGAGCTTTCCATATATTAGGCAAGTGCTCTACCACTAAGCTATACCCCAAGATCTCCAAATAGCTATTTTAAAATATCAGCTTAAACCTCCCACAAATCTGCTTTAAGAAAAGTGAAAATATAAATATGTAAAAAAAAAAAGAAGACAAAATTACAGAAGAGATGGAATAGAAGAGAAAATATCATATTCAATTCTATGGCAGTACATTTGATAACCTAGACTAAATGCCTAATTGCTTTTTTTGTTTGTTTTGTTTTTTATTTTTTGGTACCAGGGATCAAACTTGAGACCTTGCAATTGCCAGGCAGGCAGCAGAACCACTGAGCTAAATCCCCAGCCTGATTTCTTGTTTATTTGTTTTGTTTTTGAGACAGGGTCTCACTATGTAGTTTAGACTGACCTGGAACTCACTATGTAGCCCAGGCTGGTCTCAAACGATCTTCCTGCCTCAGCCTCCTGAGCGCTAGGATTACAGGCGTGCGCTACCACACCCGGCCCCAGCCTGATTTCTTACAAACAGTATAAATATGACCCAAGGCAGAACACTTGGAGAAACCAGTTACTAAAAGAAAAAATGGAAGATTTACCGCTGGCAAAGGCCTCCATAACAGCGAGGTTGAAGTTAAGGTGCACATCAGCTTATGTGAAAACGTTTGCTCCACCGGTATTCAAACAACTCCGAGTCATACACAGTGGTTCTCAGAGTTCACTGCATGACAGAAACACTGGTCAGCCTTTTAACACCGATGGTGTTCAAGCTCGCCTGCTGGAGATTCCTACGCCATCCACCTGGGGTGTGACAGACACCGGCATCAAGGTGACTCTTATGTGCAAGCAAAGATCATCTTCGATCTCACAAAGTAATCAAGAGCCTTTCAGTTATTTAAAAATCAAGTTGTGGCAAAGACAGCATCTGAAAAGAAAGCTATAAATACATTTTATTTATGAATACACGCAAATCTCTTGTTAAACCATCAGCATAGAAGGAATAGGACCCTTTGACCAAGTAGAGTTTCTTCTAAGATTCGAGGCTGTTTAGAATCAAGTATAGTATCAACATAACTACTAATTCCACCAGAGTATTTAAGATGAAACTGAGAAGTCACTTGGTGGTCACTCCTAAAAAAAATACTAAAATAGAACGTATATAATCAAATATATCTATATATAAAACACAGTTCTAATTATAAGATAATCAGCTAAATATAATGAAGGCTGTTAAACAAAAATTATGTAAAATGGCAAAATTAGAACATTTAAATAATTACATAAGTTCTTGTAAACACATTAAGAAAATAAAATAAACTGTGTAAACACTGGAAAAGAAAAACTAAATCTTTTTGCTAGAGGATTACTTGTATAATAAAGAATAGACTTTAGTTTAAAAAAGACCTTATTAAAATCATTAAGTATTTGTAAGGCAAGTCACAACAATACAACTATTAATGTCATCATCATTCTCGATGGGAAGGAAACCAAGAGGTGGAAGGTAGGAGAAAAGGAAGCAAAAAGAACTAAGATGTGTTAGAGCTCAGTGGCACCATGCCTGCCTGACAAGCACAAAGTCCTGAGTTCAATCCCTGGTGAAGAAGAAGAAGAAGAAGAGCAGGAGGAGGGGGAGGGGGAGGGGGAGGAGGAGGAGAAAGAATTAAAATGTGTTAAGTACATGTATCAACTCCCCGTGATGACTGGAATCATTATGTCCTACAAATATGTACTGATAGAAATAAAAATTTTAGAAAGATCTCAAAAAATAACCTTTCTTAATATAGTGATAAAGACCTTGAAATGGATTTGTGGAGAATGTTCTAGTCGTAATAGCATTAGATATAAAACAAGATATAAATAACGAGGGAAATTATTTAAGAAAAAAGGCTCAGGAATTATGTGAAGCAAGCTATTTTTAAAATAAATTCAAAATCTCATCGAATTTCATAAAACAGGACTCATACAAATGGAAATAAATACTCTGTTTTAGAGTAAGAAGATGGATATGAAGTATAAATATTACAAAAATGTGTAAAATTAGCTTTAATTCCTAGTATCGATTAAAATATCAATGGTCTGCTTTTAATGGTAGCGGCACATTGGGAGATTGGACTCCACAAATTCAACAAATGAATTAAGAAATGCCCTAGAGCCCTAGAATAGCCAAAATAGATAGATACATACATGTACACAAGTGTACAGGGAGGTAGGTATATTTGCATATATATATATAAATAAAGTAAAAAATAAATAAAGGGTGGTGGTGTGGTTGTTTTAGGAATAGAAAAAAAATGTACTCTAACCTTTTTCAGTTTATAAACTGTGCTCTCTGTAGGAGGACTAGGCAATATCTGAATCCTGTAGGGAAATGTGGTTTATTCGAAGTATGGTACTAACCCAAGTGATTTTCCATAGGAAGGAAATACTACGTTCCTGTCTCATAGTATGTACACAAAAAATTTCAGATGGGTTAAAAAGACTCGAATGTGGGTAAAATAAAACAGAAGGAAGCAATGAAAATTTTAGAGGAGAGAGTGTAGGGAAAGAAAGAAAAAGTGAAAGCCACTCTTTACAAATGAACTAGAATTGGAGACCATCAGGGTTAGGTGATCAGGAGGAAGGAGAAGACAGTTTTAAGAAAATCACACCTTTTAAACTAAAAAGGGATAAGAAAGAGTTGTAGTATAGTGAGAGAATATTAGTGACACACTGAAGACTACCCAGCTGCATGAAGAAATAACACCCTGGTCATCACTATCATACGGGTGAGTCTCGAAAAACACCCTTTTGCTAAGGAAAGGAGCAGACATGAAAGACCACACACTGTGTGATTTTATTCACATGAAAGTCCAGAATAGGCAATCTGTTGAGACAAGAAATTCACTAATTGCAGGGGCCCAGGAGAGGGGAATATGGGAGGTAACTGCTAATGGGTGTGTGGTTGAGGGGTAAGCAATGAAAGTGTTCTAAAATTAAATTGAAGTAATGGTTACATAGCTCTGTAAATACACTAAAACAGATGAAATTTTTATCACCAGTAAGTTAGATCTTAGTAAAGCGCTTGAAATGTGAACGCCACCAAACCTGTGTTTGTTTCTTAACCGTGCAAAACACATATCTGCCTACTTTGCCAAGGACACACAGGTGTAGTTCTTTCTTCCAAAATCTGTGTGCACCTTTCAAGTCGGTCAGTTGTCAGGAATCTAAACGGGAGATCGGCGTGCTGCCCCCACCTACACATGAGTGCCTTAGCCAACCGGTCCTGGGATTACCATGCCGGTTCTAGGCAGAACGCACTGGGGTCACTCTACTTCTGCCTGCGTGGCTTGTGGCCTCTGTTTCCCTACCTGTAAGATGCAGAGACGGTTACTGTGAGAAAAATGAAGAGATGTTATCATCTCAATGATGTGGCCAATCCCCAGGATGCAGCAGACCCTCAGGAAATGTGTCGGTGATGAGATGGGGCTAGTGGTGGTGGTCAGGGTTGGCTAAGAAAAACATAAGAGGAGCCTGGTGAGAGATATTTATTTCAACCTATTAGATCTTTTATTTTCATGCATATATTTGTAGTACATTATTTATCTGCGTACATATACATTTTATTTTAAAATCCACATTGTTATATTATCTGTGGTGAGCTGTCACTTAGCAAATTAGTTATGTGAAGTTGCATAATTGTAGAAAGAGAAAAATTGCTGGGTGCTCTCATCACTTTCAAAGTGGGGAGAAAGCAAACTTCTCTGAACTTCCCCACAGCGGGCCATGAACAGACAGAGAAGGACTAAAAGCCTTTTAGCCCCATCCCTCGTGTTCCTTTCACCGAAACGCCCTGGAGAAGCTGGCTGCAGCAGGACCCCCCTGCTACTGACATGCTACGGTGATACCAAAGGAAGAGACTGCACTAAAGCAACCCAGCCGTAGTGTTCTGGGCCAGAAAAGAAACCACTTATTTTGTGTAGTGTAGAGAATGAAATGTGTTTCATTGTAAGCTAAAAAGTGTTTGTTTAAAAGTTCTGCCAAGGAAGGGACATTTCAGGGTGCTGTAAATGACCTCTGGTTTGGTCTGGTTCTACGTGTATACAGGTTAGTTGAACTCTACACATAATGTGTATACAATTACCCACTTTGTGTGTTTTATATCCCTTTGAGAAAGAGAGAGAGAGAGAGATTGAAATATCACACAAGGAAACACATATATCCAGAAAAAAACCTTTTCAGGCAAAGATAAGCATAGCCACTTTGCAGTAGCAGAACATCAGACACACTTTGAACAATATTGCCTATTATTAGGAAAGTTATGGTAGATCCATTAACCGGAACATTTATAAAGCAACTGAAATGCAGAGAGTTTTTAAAAACACAGAGAAATGCTGCGGTACAAAGTGCAATGAAAAAAACCTACAGATAGAAGAATCATACATACTACATAGTTATACTAAAATATGCACGGAAAAATGACAAAAGAAACATTAATACTATCTTGGGGCAGGAAATCTACAGATGATTTTGTTTCCTTCTTTCAAGTGTAATGCATCTGTAAGGAATGTGTTTAACTTTAATAATTGTGTAAATATCATTAATACTTTTGAGTTTGCAATAGAAGAAGGCAAACATTAGGCCAGGAGTCAATTGTACGGTGATTACTCGCGTGGGATGCTTGCGACTGCAGGCTTGAGGTCTGATGCTGAACTTTTGGCTTTAAAAGGGCTGTCATTCCCATGGCTAAAACCAATTTCCTAAGGAGATCTCCATCAGGCTTGTCATTACAGCTCAGCTGCAGCTTCTGTCTTACAGTTTTGAGATAAGCCTCCTGGCCAGAAAATAGCCAGCTCTGTCCTACCAATTAAGGGTTTTTCCTCGTCACCAGAATAAACTCTCTGGGTAACATGCTCTTCCGCAGGCCTCTGTGCAGCCAGCCCTAGACAGAAAGGTGCAGCTAAGGGGCTTTCATCTCCCAGGATGAGATCGGACCAACATACACCATAGTATAAGTAGTCATTGGGACATCCCCTTGAAGACATACTATCCCTTCCAGTGCATACATTTGTATCTCCTTTTTGCACTTAAGGACCTGGACTAAGACAAACTAAACAACTCTTCAAAGTCTTACAATCAGCCACCAAAACACTGCTCTTCTCTCCAATGAGCAACCCAGACTTAATGTGGAACCAAATGAGATAAGACAGTGACCTCCTTTTTTCAGAAGGTCATAAAACCCATTCTACTAATTTTGGGTAATTACTTTAGCTTAATGGGTCCCTTTGGGGGAAGTCATCAACTAAGTTTATTCATTGAGACAAAATGAGACGCAGTATGTTCCACGTTCTGCCCACTGCCATGCAGACAAAGTGGCTGGTGCCTTTTGGCGAGGTGGGACTCATATCATCCAGGCAGCAAGACCAGAGCTCTGCCATCCTTTCTACAAATGCATATTCTATGGGTAGGCTCCCATAAACCCAGCTGACCTTCTTTTTTCAGACTGGTTCAAATGTCTGTGATATTTGGTGGACCAGCCATCACCCCATAAAATTACATGTAATTACGAATTTACTGTGTGCCAGTTGCTCCGCTAAGGGCTCCAGCGGCACTATTGCATCGTATCCGCATACCGTCTCTACAACAAAGGTGCCATGATGTTCCTGCTTAGACCAGGAGAATC